TAAAGATGTGAGAAAGAAACTACATGCCTTCACCCCACAAAGCTTACTGCCTCCATGAACATGACTTTAGAATCCAATCATCTTCATTACCATAGCTTTACTATTCCCAGATGCTTGCTCTGTAGCTAACTGTTCATCACAAGAACTTCTGAAAAACATCAATCCTTTAATAGGAAGCACCAACGAACAAGTTTCCTCCTAAAACTCTTTGATCCCTTGCCTCAAAATCCTTGCCTGGCAATTGCCACCAATCCCAAACTGTTACATTGTGATCCTTACCCAGTCCTGATCAAGACCCTGCATTGAAAGACCTGCCTTAAACCAAACTTCCAATTCTCAATAAAATCCAACCTTGCCTTTCCCCCTCCAAGCTCTGCCAAAGCTTAGTATTGAGGTGGTGTTTTTCCTCACCACAGGAAGCAATAAACTCAACTTTGTCTTATCAGCTGGTGGGTTGGTGATATCTGGGGAGCCAGCATTCAAAAACTGTTGTTAAATAAAATGAATATGCTGCAAATGACAACATGGAAATTTATTTGGGTGATAACAGTGACTAACAATTGATGAACAATTGGGGAATACCAACTTACATTTTATTCTGGACATCTAGATCTACATATTCATATTTTATTAATGGCCTATATTTAGGTGGAAAAAATATAGAAAATGTTTAGTACACCTTCAAGTGACACCAAGACAACTCACAGTGAAGTGTAGCAAAGTGAAGAATTTATGGAAATACAAGTTCCAAAATTAAAAATTTATTTTTTAAATATTAGAATATTTTTGAAAGAAACTACACCCATCTCAAATGAGGAAGGACAGAAGTTAACTGACCTCCAGACTGTTTCACCCTCAACTTTGCAAACCCAAATCTGTATCAGAGTAGCATCCCCACATACGAGTACATGGGGTCCTCGTCTGACCAGTGCACTATTCCACCTGTGCTCCCTGTACTGGCCACAGGTTCCCTGTGCACCCCCTTCTCTCCCACTTCCGGTCCAGTCAGTTAGGTCTTAGCTTCACTTCAATTGCTCAATCTCTCTCAATCCATCCAGGGCTTCAACAGCCCTCTTTGAGCTTCCGTCCACTTTCTTGCCTACCCTAACTGTGTTCAATCCTGGCCCCCCTGGCTCACTCACTCCTCTCTGGCATCCTTGTCCTGGCATTCCCGACCACAATCACTCCAAGTGCCTTTCTTATTCTCAGGTATTAAATGGGAAATATTCCTAACCCATATAGCTGAGGAACAAAAAAAGAAAGATGTGAAATTACTGTTTTCTCTAAATCACTCTACAAGCATCAACTATTATGACTACTACTGCTACTGAGTTAAGAACCATGCTAATTCAATACATAACAAATTTGTGCTATTTTAGTTCAACTGAAGCTTCACTGAGTTTGATAATTCTGCCAGTTGCCTCTTGGTCATCTTACATCACACTCTCTAAAATGACATTCCAAAGGTGTCCCAGTCAGAGATGAGCTCTAGTTCCAGCTCTGCTACCCACTTAAGGTCATTTCGGGCAATAACAAACACAGTCTAGGGCAAGTTTATTATTTAAAAATACACACACACACACACATATATATACACACTCACACACATATATATGTATATATGTATGGTTGAACTAAATTGTTTCTAAGATCTCTTGAAGCTCTGTGTTTCTCAGACCCTACTTTACTGGGAAAATTTAAAGCATCAAACACTGATCTCTCCTCTTCTGCTTTTCAAAATGTTTCTGTATCTAACCTCGATTCCTTCTTTCCTTTCCTTGAATACTCCAACCACCTGTACTCCCCACACCATGTCTACTTTCTTTTTCCTAGGGACTGCCCACCCTCATATCAGCATCTGCACTCCCACATTTTTCCTCCTTCCTTCCTTCCTCCTTTCTTCCTCCCTCTCTCCCTCCCTCCCTCTCTCTCTTTCTTTCTTTCTTTATCTTTGGCTGCGTTGGGTCTTCTTTGCTGCACACGGGCCTTCTCTAGTTGAGGTGCAGGAGCTTCTCATTGCGGTGGCTTGCCTATGTTGTGGGGCACAGGCTCTAGGCACGTGGGCTTCAGTAGTTGCAGCATGCAGGCTTCAGTAGTTGTGGCTTGCAGGCTCTAGAGCGCAGGCTCAGTAGTTGTGGCGCACGGGCTTAGATGCTCTGGGGCATGTGGGTTCTTCCCGGACCAGGGCTTGAACCCGTATCCCCTGCATCAGCAGGCGGATTCTTAACCACCGCACCACCAGAAGTCCACTGACTTCTTTATATGAATACCTATCTTCCCTTCTTTGAAAAAGGAAATTTTCACTTGATCCTCCAAGTCCTCTCTAGCTGCTATCCTGTACTCCCTTCCACCGGCACTTCCTACAATCACTACCAATATTTTACATCTCACATTCCTCGGCCTAAAACGTGGCTTCTCTTAAGATCTTTTGCTGGGACTTCCCTGATGGCACAGTGGTTAAGAATCCGTCTGCAAATGCAGGGGACACGGGTTCGAGCCCTGGTCCGGGAAGACCCCACATGCCACAGAGCAACTAAGCCCGTGTACCACAGCTACTGAGCCCGTGTGCTGCAACTACTGAAGCCCACGCGCCTAGAGCCCGTGCTCCGCAACAAAAGAAGCCACTGCAATGAGAACCTCGTGCACCACAACGAAGAGTAGCCCCCACTTGCCGCAACTAGAGAAAGCCTGTGCACAGCAACGAAGACCCAATGCAGCCATAAATAAAAATAAAGAAAGAAATTGAGAGGGAAATTAAATGAATGAGTATTATAAAAATATAAAAGATCTTTTGCTAAATTCCATGTTCTCTGCCCCTTCCTCATTTCTAAATACTAGTGAGAATATCCTCTAAGCAATTCTCTGGACCACAGAACTTTCTCTCAGTATGTCTCCAGGTCCTAAACAATGAGAAGGTCATGTTAATAACGTCGTTATAAAAAAAGGCTACAAAATGGCACAGGAGTATACCATAACAACAGAATATAACACACTTCCTGCGCTTCTTTCATTAATTCCATAAGAGTTTTGCCTTTACTGCAACTTGAATGGAGAAGGCACTTAAAAGAATTTCAATGGACCAAATATTAACCAGCCTCCGATGTGCAAACTGATTTTATAATGGTCCTTGACCTGGAAATGTATAGGTGCATTCAAATATACACCCTGATAAGAAAGGACATACAGAGGATAGAGTTCAGTGACACAAAGCTTGTCAAGTCAAAAGTTCCTTGCAATAAACTCTAAAAGTATGCAATATTTTAGATATGGTTTAGAAAATGCTCATCCTTGTCTAAGAAATGTTAACAGAACAAGTTACACGTGGCAACACCTACTCTCAGAAAACAAAATCCCACTGGGTATGTATTAATGAAAACCAATAGTGTGGCGTTTATAAATAAATAAATAAATATGCAGTGAGGTAACCCACTCACAGATAGCTAGAGACAACAGTTCTAATGAGTCAAATCAAACCAGAGAAGTAGTTTCCATTTTAAATATATTAGAGTGTTAAGAAACTAATTAATTCAAAAGTTATTTTATGGATGGCTTCCTTGAACATGTTTTTTCTTATTAAAAGCTTGTTCCAGTTAAGGAAGTGAACATGGGGAAGCTGGTATTTCCTTGATTCTAAACTGTATCAGTGCTAAAACAAAACAAACCCCAACCTAATTAATTCTATTTTTGGTCTAGTTTCCAAGGCAGTTTTCACAAAAACTATTCTTTGCCCACTCTTTTTAGCTTTGTAACATCAACCTTCAGAAGCTAGAAACTGTTACACTTTGTATAATTCCTTGATACATATGTTCTATCACAGACTCATTGTATTCCACCTGCCTATCAAGGGTAGGGGGGAAAAAAAGGATCTGTCTTCCCATTGATTCTAAAGTTTCATGCCTAAAATCACTGTTAAATTTATTATTTCATGATGTTGTGGGATATGTTCCTGCCAGAGCTTTATAAGGGGTGACCTCAAGTTCATCAACAGCAAGTTCCAGGTGGAACCTCCCCCAAATCAGAACTTCTGAGTTCTGATGAGTGAGTGAGTCTCAGCAACAGTGCAAGCCAGAAAAAAGGGAATCAGGAAACAGTTTCTAGTTCCAAAAGGCCACTGACTTGACCTTGAGCAATCTACTTCACTTCTGTAATTCAAACTGCAATACCTGCTTCCAAAAAAGAATGCTTCTAGGAATAGCTTAAGTGCTTTGAGTTTCTAAGATAAAATGGAATTTTATAAACAGAAGATTTCATAAAACAATCTATTGCCTGGCCCAATTTCCTAAACTTATTACCAAATAAGCTGAACTTTGACTTTCTTCTACCTTTAAAAAGAATAGTGGCATTACATCTACTTACAAAGGCAATCTACAGAAATGGGAATTTTAAAAGTCCTCATGAATTAACGTGTCAGGTAAAATGAAATCTACTGCTGCACTGTCGGTCGTGGAGGGTCACAACTGGGTCACGTGTAGGAGCCTCTCAAACCTCCAAAATCTATTATACTGAAAAAGGATAGAGGAAACGAAAGTGCTGATGGCGGAGCGCGAGAAGCCAAGCCTCCAGCGTCAGGATCCAATAACATGTTAGAAGCGAAGGTGCATGACTTAAGTTTAGTTCTTACTAACTGTGTTCCTCTCCCGAGAAGAGGTGTGAGGTGGCAGCTACTAGAAAGCTGCAGCTCTCAGGGTGGCAGGCTCCATCCCGATTCTAGCGTCGGCCCCAGATCCCGGGAAGGGGGACTGGAATGGGCAGAAACTAAATTAGAGTCAAGTTGAATCATCCAGCTACCCTGGCAGCGGTCGAGGTCATCCTGGGAAACGCACCATCGCTGGGGGCCGGGTCCCACTTGAGGGAGAAGGAAACAAAGCCAGGCCGGGAGGGCGGCGCAGCCCGCAACTTCACCTGACATTCAGTGGGGCCCCACCCTCCCTCCCAGGTGTCCCGGCCCCAGCCAGGACCCAGCCGGGGCGCGGGTGTGCGCCTCTCACGGCTCTACTTACTTTGTCACTGGTGCTCTCGGTTTCGTGGTCGCCGCCGGCCGCCTCTCCCTCGCGGGGTGGCGGCGCCACCGCTCCCCCGGGGCCGGGGCAGCCTCCCCGGTGCCTGAGCTCCCACATGTCCCGCTCCCGCGCGGCCGTGGCGCTCTCCTCCAGCGTCCCGAAACCCGAGCTGCACGCGCGGTCTCGCCGGCTGGCCGCCCTGCCACCCCGCAGCTACACACCCGACGTCCCGCAAAGCCGCGGCCACTAACACGCCCCCACCGTGGAGGCGCCGCCGCCGCCTCCCGCCGCGCCGGGTCACCCCCAAAACGGCATCAACGAGCGAGCGCTCGAGGCCGCCCCCTGCGAGCGCGGGGCCGGTAGAGAGAAGAGGGGCGGGAACCGGGGGCGAGCTCGGAGTGCGGGGCAGGCTCGGGGCGCCCGGCCCGAGCGGAGAAGGTGGGGGCGCGGCGGAGCGCGGCCGCTGGTTGCCAGGTGCGCGTCCCCACGCAGAGGCCCAGGTGGGAGGAGAAGAAAGGACGGGGAGGGAAGGAGGAAGCGTGACCCGTTTTAGCGCTTCACCGGGCTCCGGCCGCCCGGGCCCTGCCACTCCCCGCCCCGCCCCCAGACTCAGGAGTCGGCAGGTCCCGGCCCCCCTACACCTTTCTCCGGGTTGCTGCCTCCCGCAGCCAGGTCACGCGCCGCAAGCCCCGCCCCGCCCCTCTGCGCTGCACTGCGTTTCCCACAGCCCCGCCTCCATCGCGGAGGGGTGACGTCATGGGTCCGGACCGTGGCTCCGCCCGGGTCTCTGCGAGCACACAGGTGGCGGCGTTGAGAAAATGTGCGGGCTGGAACAAAGGTGAGGAGCAGGGAGGTGGAGGAGGGATGAACAGCTTGCTTAGAAGTGAGGCGTGAGAACTTGTGGACTCGTCACGGAGCAACTGGGCTGAAAGAACTACTCGAAGACGCCTGGTCAATACTGACAGCACTCAGCACTACCCCTTCGAACGGCTCCGCGGCCGCCGCAGCTTGATACACCGCGGAGTGTCGGAGGTTCAGAGGCGACCAGAAGCAGAAACTTGTCTGGCAGGAGGAACTCGATGACTTCGCGGCATTGTGACCCAGTGGCATCGCTTGCAAAATAGGAGATGCCTTTGCCTCACTGGGCGTCCCGGGTTGGCCAGTTTCAACCACATACCCAAACTCTGTCTCCAAGGAACTCGAGTATTGAATCTCTCAAAATTCACTGCCTAGGGCCTGAAGAGAGAACCAAGACCCTGAGGTGCCAGGGGATGCAGTTGCCAACCAGCTAATCTCTAAGCAGTCATAGACCTTGGGCTGCTAAAGTTGGAACAGGAAGGGCACAAGATCCGCATTAATTCCGTTCCAAATCCTGTTAGAAGGTGATTAGTTTTCTTGACATGTATGTATCACCTGGTCATTACTGACAAGCTGACAAATGGGGGGTGGGGGGAGGAGACAGGCCGTCATACAAACAGGACAACGTTCAGGAAAGCACCCTTATAGAAATAAATCAACAATAGAAATTTCTTCAGGTCATTACTGACACCCTGAAAATAAGTAAGGTTGTTCCAAAAATTGAATAACAAGCAAAAACAGAAAGTCAAAGTAGGAGGCATTGAAAAGCAGAGCACAAAGACATTATTTTACTTCATCAAACAAATCTTTAAAGCTCTGAGCTCAGATTAGGTCACCATATCATCAAAGGGATAGAGAGAAGAATCAGTCAGTCTTATGGGAAGAGTAACAAAAATGACAAAAGATATGCAAATAAGTCCTTTGAGTCACAGTCATGGTGCGGTTTTCCTTAAGGAACAGAAGACTATGGGGTGACTAGTTTAATCAATTGTTCTTCATTTCTTTGGAGGACCAGAGATGAAACGCTGCCTGACGGTTAGGAACATAAGGTTGAAGAGACTGCTGAAGGCAGTGGTGGAGTTTCCCACCTGAGTCCTAGTTCCACCAATGCCACTAACTGGGTGTGGCCTTGGATAAGTCATTAAGCCTCAATGTCCCCAACTATGAATTGGATAGTAAGGAGGATGGCCTCTGTGGTCCCTTCCAGCTTACACATGATTCTGCAACTAAAGCGTCTCTTTATCAGAACCCAGACCTTCCTTTCTCCCATGCCTCAAGAAAAGGGGACCTAGCATTGCACCTGAATGGTTTCCTCCTTCCCCTTCCCCTAGTAAACCCAATAGCTCCTTTGACTTTCTCCGCCCTTTGCTGCAGGAGAAAAAATGGTAATGAGAAAAGTGGCAGGAGGGGACAACAGAGGACAGGAATGCACGCCACGAGAAATAGTATTCCCTGACCCAGGAAATGTGGGACCAGGGCAGAGACTGCCAGACTAGAGTGGTTTACTACTTTATCTCACCCTTCTTTAAGCTCTGTATTTCAGCGGAAATGGTCATTTCTTTCTGCCTTCATTATAGTTATTGCCACTCGTTGAGTGATTACACTGAACCCAGACAGAAGGAACCACTGTTTATTCATCTTCACAGCCCAATCCCTTGCCACAGGGCTGGCCCCCACTCTCATACAGTCAACACTTTTGTTGAAAAAATGAACGAAGAAATGAATGAATGGCAGAGGTATAGCATAAACCAGGGAAAGATATATAGTATTTGTATTTTTTTTAACTAAAAAGGTCTATATTAGTCTTAAAAGGTACTCACGTGTCTTTGTTTTTCACTTTATGTGAAAAGGAGAAAGATTGATTTTAAGATGTATTAAAACGGGGTTACAGTAATGACTGGTGCAGTTTACTTAAGGTATATTATGATATAGTCAACCAGAACTGGCCTTACTGAGCCCTATAGTCTCAAACTTTTTTAACGTCTTCTTTTCTTTTTCATTTTTATCTTTCATTTTTCTTCATTCAGAGAGCTTACGTTCTCAAAGTTTATTACATTTATGTTCGATGACCCAAAATCTGGCACGTACTGGTTTCTAAGGCCTGACCCGTTAGGTTTATAAGAATTTAATCTGCTAAAGGGCACCATGTAAACTCAAAGCACATGCATAGGCTAATCACAGGAGACACTCGGCCAACATTTCTTGGTTGATTTATAGATTTTCTACTTTAGTGATATTGAAATGATTTATAACTCTTAGCAAGGCATTTGCTAAAGAGGAAAGAGAGAGTCCTAACTATTTATATGATTTTTATTAGATTTTTTTTTTACCTCCGCTTTTGCCCAAAGATGGAGGGACCTTGCCCGAATAGTAAGCTTATGAAATGGAGAGACCCCTTATCACCCTCTTCCCTGAGTACCCTCAAAATGTTCCCAGAGTGATAAACATTCCCCTCTTGTGTGGGGATTTGAGCTGCTTTCCACATCAGAGGCTCAAAGGCGCTCAACTGGAATGTCCCCAGCCTGCCAGGGAAAGAAGAAATCTTCCTCAGCCAAGCGTTTCTGGTTGCTTGGACACCCGCATTATAGTTTTTGTCGCTTGACCTATCTTCCTCTGTTGCCCTCCGTCAGTTCCATCTGTAAGTCAGAGTTAGAAATTTATGATTTAGGCCAACCAGAGAAACATTTTGTGGTAAATTATTGAAGGACAATTTATGTTTACATTCTTATTTTCAATGAAACTGCACAGGAAAACAACAGTGTACCATCAATTACATCTGACTATCAGAGGAGCAAGTACAGTGATATAGTAAGAAGCACGGTTTTATATACGGGTGACCCTGGTTTCAAGTCATAGCTCCATCATCTTCTAGCTGTGACCCAATTAACTTTATAGAACATTTGATCACACACAGCTGAAGGTACATCCTAACTGACGTGCCCAAAGTTTAAGTAATAACTCTTTATGTAACACCTTAAAAAGCATTTTCACATGATTTTATTTATTCTAGTCAACAACCTATGAAGTAGGCGAGACAAATATTATTATTCTTTTTTTTTTTTTTGCGGTACGTGGGCCTCTCACTGCTGTGGCCTCTCCCATTGCAGAGCACAGGCTCCGGACGCACAGGCTCAGCGGCCATGGCTCACGGGCCCAGCCGCTCCGCGGCATGTGGGATCCTCCCGGACCGGGGCACGAACCCGTGTCCCCTGCCTCGGCAGGCGGACTCTCAACCACTGCGCCACCAGGGAAGCCCTATTCTTATTTTACATGGAAAAAAATATGAGGTTCAGCCTGTAAACTACCCAGGTTTGCCAAGGAAATTTGGAATTGAAACCTAGGTTTTTTGTATTTTAAATTCTGTCAGGTTCACTATGTACTGCAAGTAAGTAGTAGCAAAAACAAGTAAATTCTAAGAGAAGGCAACTTGTTATAACAATTAAGCACAGGAATTCATCAGCAAACCTGCCTGAATTCAAGTCCCAGCTCTGCCACCTACTGGCCCGTGTCACCAGTCAGGTAACTTAACCCCTCTGTGCCTCGGTGTCCTCATGCATAAAATGAGGATAAAGGTGGGCTTCCCTGGTGGCGCAGTGGTTGCGGGTCTGCCTGCCGATGCGGGGGAGGGATGTGTGTTCGTGCCCCGGTACGGGAGGGTCCCGCATGCCGCGGAGTGGCAGGAGGGGCCGTGGCAGTGGGAGACCCGCGTACCGCAAAAAAAAAAAAAAAAAATGAGGATAAGGGAGATACTATTTTCCTCCCAGAATTCTTATGAAGATTGAATTGGTTAATATACGTAAAGTACTTAGAACAATGCTTGGTCCTAGTGAAGCACTATACAGGTGTTACCTATTATTACCATTTATCAATATATTATTAAAAGCTGCATGTCTCAAGGAGAGCAATATTCAGCTTCTAAACTCACTAAAGCTGCAACACCCCAGAAGACTTTGAAGAAAAAGGGATATGCTGACATTGCTTTGGTAAAGTGCACAGAAATTATGAAATGAGGTAGGGAAACTTTGCAAATAATTGCAAAGAAATCATCAGCCTATCAAATTAATTAATTTTTGCTTTATCCTTCAGCAGTAGTAAGAACTAGAATCAATTTACTACCATGTAGTTTGCATATTTATGATGACTGCAGAATTCCTTCCATTTCTAGCTTCACCACTGAATCATAGTAAATCTGAGCAAATTAAATTTTGGTGATTTAATTCCTTTGTAAAATAGGTAGTATATTCCTTCCTTATTTATTTATTTATTTATTTATTTTTGGCTGCATTGGGTCTTTGTTGCTGCATGCGGGCTTTCTCTAGTTGCGGTGAGCGGGGGCTACTCTTCGTTGCAGTGTGTGGGCTTCTCATTGCGGTGGCTTCTCTTGTTGCAGAGCACAGTCTCTAGGCATGCAGGCTCAGTAGTTGTGGCTTCTGGGCTCTAGAGCACAGGCTCAGTAGTTGTGGACTTAGTTGGGCTTAGCTGCTCTGCGGCATGTGGGATCTTCCCAGACCAGGGCTTGAACCCGTGTCCCCTGCATTGGCAGGTGGTTTCTTAACCACTGCGCCACCAGGGAAGTCCCTATTCCTTCTAGGACTTTGTAAGTTATATTCTAAAAGAATGGGTGTATGTGTGCTTTTGATACTGCATGATTCAACTATTTTTTAAATGTTGAATATAGCTGGATTTATATCTTTTTTGGAGATGGTCATTTAGAGAAGTGGAAGAGATTGGTAACTCTCCTTAGAAGAGTAAATCACTGATTTGCTTCAAATTATATCAATTATCTCTGTTCAACAAATGGCTGAAATCCAGAAGTATCAGTCAAGGTCCTTAGATGCAAGTCTGGCTGACTTAGGCAAAGAATTTATTGAAAGGTTAATAAGAAGCTCACAGAACTCTTTGGAAAGCTGGAGGACCCAGCATAGAAAACTGGCAGAAACAAAGGATGCCCAGCAGCAGCAAGGACCATAGTCAAAGCCATACCCATACCAGCCAACTAGGGCCCACATTGCTAGACCCACTGGCACAGACCACCACAGCTTGCACCATCACTGTGAGGGCGCCAGCCACTGGGTGCCACCGTTGCCATAGCTCACCTTTCCCACTTATGTTTTATTTTACAAACTCTTGTATACTTATACTTTTACAATGGAATCATTTCCTTATAAGACGCAATAATAGCCATAAGATCTCTTTGTGAAAAAAG